ACGAATCGAAATGTAAATGTAGGTGGAGTACTGGTGAATTGATGAAGAATTTTATCGGTAGAATTATCGATAATTTACATAGATTAGATTTTGAAAAAAAAAAAAATGTTTGATAAAATCAAATCTTTTGATGCAGAATGCAATTTGTTATTTTCACTGATTTGTACTAGTAAGGAAAAATGCTGTTATTTACGTGTAGAATTTAGCGTAGTTATCCATAATAAATAATGAACTGAACATATGATGGCGAGTAAAAAATGCTTGTCGGAGAATAGAAAGCAGGGTGAGAGTATTTTTAAAAATGTACCTATTTGGAATAGAATAAAATAAACCCCTTTGAAAAATCAAATCAAATTGTGAACATTGCGTCGAAAGTATAAACTTTTTAATCTATACTGATCAAGCATTCTTTTTTTCCTGTTTCCGTTGAGTACTACACGCTTCTAACATTTCGCATTTTTTTTGTACCGTGTAAAATTTAAAGCGCCGTGTTCAAAAAGAAAAAAAAATCCTTCTGCAGTATTTTATTACTAACTTTGATAAATAATAATTTTATTATACAGTAGTAACACAATTGCTATTACACAACTGCAGAATTATCATAAAAAGCGAAAAGAGAATAGTTGAATTCAAGTCAGACTTGATCCTTACTCCCGAATTTAATCAAAGGTTCAATGTTTGCTCCTTGATATTACTTTTCCCGTTATTATTATTCCATTTCTCATATAGGCGTGCAAATGAGCCGAGTTTATTTTAACACGAGCATTACCTAATGTTTGTGCAAATAGGAACATTCCTTTGTAACCAGACCTATTGCGAACATTATTCAGTGTGCGTAACACAAACGCTAAGAAACGAACTGATTTCCTTCTGTCATAAATTATAGCTGACGCTACATTCCGTGCAAATATTTAGTTACTACAAGATTCGTGGATCGATCGCATTAGAGGCATCGCGTTTTATTGGTATCTGTTTCCTCTTCTGTAGTACCGACTGTTTCATTCATTACCTTCGTGTATTTTAAGATCAGCATTATATCATTTAATAAAGCCGTCGATTCGATGAAATTTTGCTACGACATCGAAAGAGACGTTAAGGAAAAGTAATTTCACTTACTTGAAGAAATGTTGCGACGATTTCTTCTGAAATAGTAACATCGCCACGATGTGCCAGAGCTTTCGGTGGAATTGCAATATCCAAAGGAAGTCTCGGTAGTTGTACCATGATGATGGATGCTGCACTCTTTCATTCGCTTACTTTCTGCGAACCAAAATTATATTGCACAACTGAATAAATATAAGTAAAATGAAAATGCGTACAATATCAGTTTTATTGAATATTAAAATATTCCTTTAAAACAAACAATTTCATTTAGCTGATAAATATCACAGAAACATTTGTCAATAAGTGTACGGTGATCTCCGATCATGGGTCAATAAACACGTTCGATAATACCATAACCTCACTTTGACATTCAGTTTCCACCATGCACATCCCATAATTGTAGACTATTTTAAGAAATTCGCTATACTACGATTATGAGCGACGTTTCACAATGTCCTTTCTGATAATAGTATGTCTATATATTTGTTATGAACATAAATAATACGATATGATACTCTGGTAACTTTGAAAGTGCTTAGAAATGTATTTATACTGTTCTAAATAGTGGAAATTATTACTGTGATTGATAATTATTGTTCCAATAATATCACAGTACTTGTAACGTATTTTGTATGGCAAATATGCAGGAAATACCGAAAGGAAAATTTATCTCACGTATTTAAAACGGTACGTACCCACAGTTTTTTAAATTCAAATATTGATAATTGATGAAAGCAAGTTTCGCGTAACTACAATGGTCGTGCTCCAGGTGTCACTACACTTTTGGCGCCGATATCTTTGAAAGTATGTTACTACTGCCAAATCGAAAAGGAAACTACGAAATAACGACCTTAAATAACGCATTCCCACCTAACTCGATTGTCCTTTTGACGCGTGTATACACTCACTGATCCTTTGTCGATAATCTGTCTGTCACGACTAGATCACCTTGGCCTTGATATTGTAAATTCTACTCTACAAATATTAGGTAAAAAAAAAATTGGACTTATTGTTGTATACTACCAATACATCTAGTGAACTACATAATAGATTGTATATTAAAATTAACATATTGACAATAATAATGACCGTGACAATGCTACATGTACTAAGTAATATTAATTTAACCTAACCTTGACCTGACAGATTTTCGTCTAGGTTTATATTCAACCGATCTAGACTTCGATTGCATTAGGATTAATTTAAGATCAAAGTAGGTTAACGTTAGAAGTTCATTAATTCTCATATGTGGTGTAGAGAGCAGCACTTACATATGACACGTTCCAACATGAATATAGATGGCGTGTTTCGATAAATTTAAATTCATTATTCATCTACTATCAATTGAAAGTCTGTAAATATTTTTCTCAATAATACTACAATAAAAATTTTTCGCAGCTATAATATACGATTTACACTTGTTGAGGCAGTTCTCATATGTGAATCGTGTACCTTTGAAAGAGCACACATCAGGTTTTTTGGCAGATATGGATTGTCCCCATAGAAACCAATTTTGTGTAGAAAGGTCACGTGTGCCAGTATAACAGTATGTTAAATAATAGACTCCCCCGCCAAATACCTTCTAAATTCCTTTTTATAATTTAAAATTTCAATTTTTTTGTAATTTATATTTATTAAAAAATACAAATACTACTATATCAATTATTATACAAACAAGCAACTATGAATAGCGGGTAATAAACATTTATGAATTACCGTTTGATTGTGCTCCTTTAAAAAAAAAAACATTTCACTTAAATTGTAAACATAATCAATTTTATTCTCTACCTTATAATAATATTGGGTGAAATTATTGATAAAGAAAAAATGTTACTGAGTTAGGAATTTAGCAATCTTTGTTATATTTTTGTAGAATTTTATTCCTTCCTTAAAGAAATTCTATGCAAAAATTATATCTGCATTAATAGTTCAAGTATTTTTTGATAGTATTATCATAATTTAAATGATATACACATTACTCCGTCTTTTTATGTTGCGCATGTGCATTGTTACTTCTGTGGGGGCGTAATATTAGTGTGTTGGAAATTTCTACGATTCTGTTTCGGTTGGCAATTTCTGTTCTTAGCGCATACGTACCCACTTATTATTTACATATGTTTGTTAGGTATATTATTTTTTAAATAACAACTGTATATATTTAAAAACTGAAAATGTACATACAAATTGAGGTTTTATGGAATCCATAGATTTTCATGAATTTTATTCGATTAAATTACCAATCAGACTGTGCCGTATTATCAGTGTTTGACTTGGGCCAATATTAAATATTCTCTTCGACGAACCATCTTATTATAACCTACTTCACGGATAAAATGTGCGTCCAAGGCTGTGTCATTATATATTAGTAGTGATGTGGAACTGCAGTGATAGGAACATGAGGGGAAGAAATTTGTTTATTAGTATATTATTTATAGTTGTTTCAATAATATTTAGTGCAATATCACAGTGTTCCTCAACTTTGTCAAACAAACGATTATGTTATGATCCTAATTGTTCCGGTAATTGAAGCCATACTTTATCTCCAATATGTATCTAATTTAAATTTTTTTCTTTAAATTTAAGCTAAATTGTTTAATAATGTGTGTTCCGTAGAGCCTGTTTCACTAGCCAAAACGATAATTAAATATAATGCAATTGAGCCGGGATTATTATCGTTCGATTACAATGTAGATGTCAAAGTTTACAGTAAGGAGGCAGGTGAAAGAAAAGACTTGTGGGGTGTAGAGGTAAATATTGTTAATTTATTTTTAATAATTTTATTTATTTTCTACTTTGCAACGGTACTTAAAAATAAATTTAATTTATTTAATAACTAATATATGTGTCTGTAAGTAATTTTAAAGATTTCATTGATTTTAGATAAATGGTAAACATGGATATGCACCAAAAACATTTTTGAAGGAATATAAAATTTTACACAGGAAGTTGGAGTATGAAGTACCTACTAATCCTTCACGTAGTAATAATGTTTCATCTAATGAAAAGACTAAGTCTAAGAAGGATAATAATAAATCAATGTTCAGTACAAAAGATATTAAGGCCTCAAGTACACAGATTGATAATTCAGATTTAAAACCCACAGAAGAACAGTCACACAATATAACTGGTGTAACTTCATTTCATGAAGTTATAGATGGAACTACGTTACATGGAAATGTAAATCATGATGTGAAATCCTCTATAAAATCAACAGAAGTTATTCAAGAAACAGTAATGCCAAATATTAAAGATGCAGTTGATGATTCAAAAGTTAGTTATACTAATGGTGAAACTGAATCAAATATTTTTACAAAAGATGACACAGTATTGCAAAAAGTATTGAATGATAAAGTAGAAAATGAAAAACAAACTATTTCCAATAAAGCTGATATTAAAGATTTTGTGACAAGCTCAGAACAAATATTAGATTTACCAGAACTAATTGGTATACACATGTTACCATTGAAAACAAATTCTGAAGAAACAAAACTAACAGCAGAGAAAGTAAAAAATAACTTACCTAGTGATGTAAAAGGTGACCAGTCTTTGGAAGGAGTTGTTGATAGCAACGTACCACAAGAACCTATACTTGATGTAAAGCATATAGAAAATGTTGATAAAATTGATACAAAAACTTATGCAGGTAGTGTCATTGAACCTGATGTTTCAAGTGTAAAAACTCCTGATAAAATTGAGACAAAAGGTACTGAATCTTCAGAAAATGTCACTACAGACACAAGTAGTGTTACTAAACCTGATGTTCTAAGTGTAAAAATTCCTGAAGGAATTGAGACAAAAGGTACTGAATCTTCAGAAAATATCACAACAGATACAGATAGTGTCATTAAACCTGATGTTCCAAGTGTAAAAACTCTTGATAAAGTTGAAACAAAAGGTACTGAATCTTTAGAAAATGTCACAACAGATACAAGTAGTGTCATTAAACCTGATGTTCCAAGTGTAAAAACTCTTGATAAAGTTGAAACAAAAGGTACTGAATCTTCAGAAAATGTCACAACAGATACATATAGTGTCATCAAACCTGATGTTCCAAGTGTGAAAGCTCCTGAAGGAATTGAGATAACAGGTACTGAATCTTCAGAAAATGTCACAACAGATACAGGTGGTGTTATTAAACCTGATGTCCCAAGTGTAAAAACTCTTAATAAAGTTGAAACAAAAGGTACTGAATCTTTAGAAAATGTCACAACAGATACAAGTAGTGTCATTAAACCTGATGTTCCAAGTGTAAAAACTCTTGATAAAGTTGAAACAAAAGGTACTGAATCTTTAGAAAATGTCACAACAGATACAAGTAGTGTCATTAAACCTGATGTTCCAAGTGTAAAAACTCTTGATAAAGTTGAAACAAAAGGTACTGAATCTTTAGAAAATGTCACAACAGATACAAGTAGTGTCATTAAACCTGATGTTCCAAGTGTAAAAACTCTTGATAAAGTTGAAACAAAAGGTACTGAATCTTCAGAAAATGTCACAACAGATACAGGTGGTGTTATTAAACCTGATGTCCCAAGTGTAAAAACTCTTAATAAAGTTGAAACAAAAGGTACTGAATCTTCAGAAAATGTCACAACAGATACATATAGTGTCATCAAACCTGATGTTCCAAGCATGAAAGCTCCTGAAGGAATTGAGATAACAGGTACTGAATCTTCAGAGAATGTCTCAACAGATACAGGTAGTGTCAATGAACTTGATGTTAAAAGTGTAAAAGCTCCTGAAGGAATAGAGACAAATGATACTCAATATTCAGAAAGTGTTGTAAGTTCAAGTAGTAGCACTATACCAAATGTAGAGAGTGCAGGAGATACTCCATTTTCAGAAAGTTCCACACAATTAGAAGCAGAAAAAGATGAATTAAACAAAGAAGAAACCGAAAGTGCTGCATATTTAAATAAACATAATTATGATGAATATGTTTCACCTTTATTTTTACAATTAAATGTAACAGATACAGTGCAAGTGACATTACCCTCTGATAATGTTGTGGCATCTGCCCAGAATACAGAAGCTACTAGTGAATTTGATACAAAGAATGTTCAGTCTGATTCAAATGTAATGGACATTGTATCTGCCTCACAAGCAACATTAGATGGCCAACTTAATTCATACATTGAGGGTATTGAATCTGTAGTTGAAGCAAAATCAAATGTTGAATCTAATTTACATATTGAGGACTCTGTACCTGTAACAGAAGTAACATCAGAACATGTTTTCCACCAAGTACAAGGTACAGTGTACAATTTTTGTGTCTTTTTATAACAAAAATGTAGTGTTATTAATATTATTAATATTACTTTTGGGTTTTGAATCTTGAAAATAATTTCATATATTTGCTGTAACATTTTTGCAGTTTCCTCACCTGATTTTTGTACAGCTGATAATGTTGAATGTTCTCTAGAAGACAATATTCCACATCATGTAAGAATGAACTATTTTAGAAATATCATATTTGCAAATCATAAGTTTATCATGTTTTACTTATCATTTAGTTAATTATTTCAGGAACAATCTTCTCAGGACAGTGAAAACGCTTTAATGCAGAGAATTCAATTAGAAGGAAATTATTGGTTGACACTAATATATTTAAGTGTTACTGCCACTGCAACACTTATATTTTGCCTAGGGTACTATTGCATTGAGGTATTAAATACTCTTGAACTATTTCTAGCATATATAATATGCTGCTAATATATATATATCTAATATTGATCAGAACGTATTTGAAATTAAACGAGCAAATCATACCTAAATAAACAAATATACGTATATAATATTATTAATTTTATATTTTTATAGAATATGAGGAGGGATAGACATCTTATAGCTAGAATCAACAAACTTGAAAAAGATTTACTTATTTCAGAAGCAGAATGTACAATGGTGAATGAAAACTTAAAATCAACGAAAGAAAAGGTAATGTGATTAATGAATCATATGTTCATTATATTATTTATATTCTTCTATTGAATTTGTACTTGCTATTAAAAAATATATTATAGTTGATCCGTATGGAGGATGAATCATTTGGTTCTGATGAAATGGTGCTTTCATTAAGGGTTGATTTAGAAGCCTCACAGGTAAAGTATTATATATTAAGACACTTAAGTAATATATAAACATTAAAGTATGTAAACATATAAGGGATAAAATAATTTAATCTGTAACGATTTATTACATTCTTATAGAATGCAAAAACTGAATTGGAAGACCAAGTTGCCATGCTAGAAAAAGATCTAGAAAGCGCTACTGAAGCCGGATTAGAACTAGAAAGAATGTTGCGCGAAGTTCTTTCGACGAATAATGAAGTTAATCCGTTAGCTCAATCAGTAGAAGATCTACAAACTAGATTGAATGCTCAACAAGCAGCAAATGAATCTTTAACGAATGCTCTCAATTTTAAAACTCAGGAGGTATGTATTTTTATTATTATTTTAATTGCGTGTATTCAGTGTTTTTATAAATAAAAGCATGTTTTTAATTGTATGTGTTCTGTATACTTATCGCAGCTTGAATTCGATAAACTTGAGGTTCGTAATTATAGATATTTCGTGAAATTACGAATATTGTGGAAAATATTGTAATACTACAACCTGTTTTTTTACTCTCCTGTCTCTTTCTTAATATTATTACTTATTAGAATATGTATCTCATGTAATGTATTTTATTACGTAAATATATGTGATTTTTAATGTTGAATGATTTGCAGAACGAATCCTTATCAATAGAGCTTGGATCTGTAAAAAAGAAGTACGAGGAACTTGAAGTTGAACTTACTCGAATTACGGAAATGTTGAAACAAGAAGTAAACAATAAGAATAATATCGAGCAAACTTTGACTGATAGGGTGCAGCAATTAGAAATGCAACTCAAGGAAGTAAGTGTAGTGTAAATATATAATTAATGATAAGTAAAGGGGACAGTATGTTTTATGGAAATATATTTACAGATTTCTACCGAAACAGCAAACTTACAGAAGGTGCTGAAAAGTAAAGAAGTAGAAGCCAAAGATCTTGTAGAAGTTATTAATCGATTGAATTCGAATAACTTGGACTTGGACAAGTTATACGATGTATCTCACATTAAAGCAGAGGCAACGGAATTGCTCGAAGAACGAAACGAATTAAAAATAAAATTAGCTGAGGTTGAAGGAGCTCACAATTTATTAGAAGGTATTTTTAACAATATCATGTTAATATACAGTTAAATATACGAAATATAATTTTGCAAATTGTAGAACACGTGAAGGTTATTAAAGAGGAAATAGCTACTTTGAGCGAACAATGTAAAGCAGCAGAAAAGGAGAAGAAGGATGCGGAAACACGACTGGAAGTGTTGACTAATTTTTTCGAAGAAAAAGAGGCACAACGACAAAAGTATTACGTTTATTATAATTATTAGAAATTAATTTTTTTTTGTTTAATTAAATAAAATCTTGTTTTTGTGTATTATTTTTGTATATTATTATAGGGAAGAAGCTATTTGGTTGCAACAGCAGGGTGAAGTTGTATCCACTGTAGAACGAATACAAACGATGCAAAACGAAATACAAAATTATAAGTAAGTGGTAATCTATTATTTAAAATAGTTTTGGGAAATTATTCTATGGTTATTATAATGCCTATACTTTTAATTGTATTTTAGACAACAAATAGAAATGTTGAAGCGTGAAATATTAGATCAAGAAAGAGAATACAAAAATCAATTTTCTCTTCTTGAAACAAAGGCACACGAACAATGGGTATGAATTCTTTGAGTAGATTACAGTGTTTTTACTATCTTCTAGATTCTGTTTTAATATTTCGATTAAATCTTATCTTAAGGTGATAGCCCGCCAAGTTGAACGTCGTTTAGAGGAATCAAAGGTTGAAGCAGGACAATTACGCAACCGCCTTACGTTAATAGAGAAAAGTATTAACGAAGTAGACTCCGAAGCAAAATTACATCGTAAGTGTTATAAAAAGAAGCCTTTCTTAATTCTATGTCTATTAAATTTAAATTTATATTTAATTTGAAAGTTGTGATCACTTTGAGTAGTAATTGCTATTTCATTTTTTAATAAGCAAAATATAAAACTATTTTTAGCCATGAAAAGTATATTTCATAAATTATTGTTGCTTTAGACTAATTTTGTAAATGATTATATATTTACCGTAATACCAGTAGAAATCATAGGCGTAGAAATATGCTACATTAATTATTGAATATATGCGACTACTTAGATCAAGTTAAAAAATTATAAAAAATACTTAGGACCATTTACCATCGGTGCATCTTTAAAGCTGATACGGTTCTACAGGATACTCTAATATGGACAATTGTATTCTTTCAACCTGATTTTCAAACAGGACTGGAAGCAAACGGAGAGACGACAACATCGGCTCCATTATTCATAGGAGCAGAATCATCTAATTCCCCTATAATGTTTTCTGGTTCTTCGAGTGTTCCTCCACCACCGCCACCTTCCTATTTACACTCATTGTTTCCTCCGTATCTACCACCTCCATTGCCAAACACGTCCGGAGTGCCACCATATGAAGTTAGTCAACGGCCACCACCATTAGGTGGACGATTATCCTCGCCTCCACCTATGCCTTTACATCCTCCTACTTCCAACAGGTACGACAACGCAGGTTCCCCGCCCCCAATGTCACCACGTTTACTTCCACCTTTTAATCATAGATCACCACCTCCTCCTCCATTTGGTAGCGATATTCATCCACCTCCTCCTCCCCCTGGCTCGATATTACCACCACCCCTTGGAACGCCGCATTCATGGGGGGAAGAATCACTGCCGCCTCCACGCAATCCTGGTTTCCATCCAACACAACGAGAACGAGTACGAAATCACAAAGGTTTGTGTACAAGATGACAAGCCACTACAAGACAAAAAACTAGCACATCCATTTACAATTGGTCGATTTCATTTCCAAACGATCGAAGATTTTCTTCGTTTTTGTTTATTATTATTATTTCCTCCTCTCTCTTTTTTGTTGTGCATGCAAGGACGCAAGCGATTCTCTAAAGTGAGACAATTTTGGAGTACTATGGAGGGAAATAATTGCAAATGAGTGCAATGTATCAGGTTAAACGTTCCGAAATTGATTTTTGTTTTCGTTTGGTGCTGCGCAGAAAATGCGCATAAACTGTCGAAATTAAATCACTGATTTTTAAAATTTTTACTGCATATATGTTAAATCTGGTATACATTTTTTATTAATATTCTATTATTTTGTTAATGACGTACTCACGATATTTGTGATGTGATTTCGATATTTTTATATAATAATACTCAAAATTTGCGAAGATTTATTTTTAATTAACAATACTGTTTTCTAAATTCATAATTCTTCATATTCGTAATTAGAAATAATTTAAAGTAAGTTCAATGTGGTATTCACTGTTTGTTATTGTCCTCAGGTTCCTTGCATTCTTCGGGAGAGTCATTGAATAAGTCACATCATAACAGCAAAGTTTGAGTCTTTTATTTTGTTATAAAGAATATATAGTCATGGGGCACTCAATTATAAGAAAAAATTTAATAAACAAGTAACAGTGATGTAAGATATATTAAATGCTAATATATGACCAGCATTTATTATCTGACAAAATAATAAATCATGCATTTTGATATAGTATTTGTCAAATGTCATCACTGTTATGCCAAAAAGAAGAAAAAATAATTGTACATATACATTTGATTATTACATAGGGATGTATTTAAGGATGTATTCCCATTCGGAGCCGTCAATTTTAAAATAACAAAATGCAATTTTTATACAATTACCTTTATTATTATTTAAATTATTGTATGTTTTCCGCAGTATATCACTTTTAATGGCTGTCACGATTTATGTTGTATTCATCCAAGAAAAAAAATCAAAGATGATCTTAATCTATATAAAAGTGGTTATCTTGTGAACTAAAATGAAGCAAAAACAAAATTTTTTAACAAAATTTGTAATTTCTTCAAGCGATTAAAACAAAAAATATTGTCGATATTGACATAATTCTAGTTCGCAAGATAAAGAGACGTCTATTTTATGTGTGTAAAATTTGAGGATGAATTAATCAATTCATTATTGAGGTATCAGGGCAGTCAATTATAGAAACATGGTTTTGAGAAAAACGCGTTCAAAGTTTTGTGTTCTCTTTCAACATATATAACATATATATAGCACATACCTTTAATCAGCCATCCCTGCTGAGTAAAGGGGATCTTCCTCTTCCAGGAAGATCTCATGTGATACCGATCTTTGGCATCTGTTCTAGTCTTGCTGTTTTTGAAGCATCGGTTCTTTATCACGTAATTCAGCAAATATGTTTGTTTGTTGGCCAACGAAGATTTCCATTTCGGACATAATACGTAATATTGCAGAAAACCCTTCGTTAAATATGGAAACTGCCAAAAAAGTTGCAATCTCTACTGTCTCTTTTCCACAATGTGAATGTTTTGGAGCAAAGGTCCAAATTAGCGAATTTATGTTCTCATTATTATCTCGTGTATAGGCATCTAAGCATCTTTCCAATAAATTTTCTGCAGTTAATTTCCAATACATTTTGGTTCAATGGCAGTTTGTCTGTATAATTACTCAAAGTACCTTTCGTTTTCCGGTGTATCGTTCTTTTATAACGTTGTCATTTCAATGAATTTAATCATCAAATTTTGGGAATACATTTTCAAGGTGTTGTACTTTAAGAAAATACAATTAAAAAATAATCGATTTTTTTTATCCCTCCGAACGAGAATACTCCCTTAAGCATAGAATAGATTGTAAAAATGTTTCTTTATATAGTTATACATATAATTCTCTGTTCAAGTCTAAAACTTACATGTCTTCGTAAATCATTCAAACGGGAAATAAATTGTAATATGAATTTAGATTAAATACAATTGTTATATAAGGTTTTAAAGAATTGAAATAAATTGTAATTTATTATTCTGTTGCGTTTTATATAATTCACCATGAAGCCCACTTGTTACTGACGTACGTTTATTTGATCAGAAATTACCAATCCTTGAAAATTATACATTTATTACCCACAGCTTTCTTTATACATTTTACAAACAACAATGTAGCTCACTGTCTACATTGATGTATATTTTCAATAATCAATACTTACAGTATTCACAATTCAACAAAGAGGTCGAGGAATGCAATGAAATATATTATTATACTATAGCTAATGAGTCGTAATTTTATAAAAATTCGTCTTGCTCTTCGATCATCTTATATCACAAATAATGGATATGGATGGTCAACTACAAAGTTGCGTAAACAAATATGCATAATAATAATAATATAATTATTTCATGCCAAAAACACTACAAAAAATATAAAGAAAAATATAAGGACTGCAAATATTTTTATCATTAACCACCTGTTATTAGTCACAGATTGGAAATATTTTAAGATTTCTGCATGTGCTGCCTCCACATTCAATTCTGTATCTTCTATATTGCTATCTATCCTGAAATTCCATTTACATATTTATAATAAGTCTTATGAGCCTTTGAAACCAAAAGAAGTTTTTTAATATTTGCTTAATTATAATTCATTGAAAATGGCTACAGAATTTCCAATTAGAAATTATATAAAGCAAAATTAAATTATTTTTACCTTTCCACCATTTCCTCTTGTTCCTTAACCATGTGCGCTAATTGTTGAAAAATTCCTCCAAGTTCAACTATAGTAGATTCTATATTTTGCATTGTTTCTGCTCTGGACTGAACATATGCATCCTAATAAATGAAGAGGAATATTCATTGTTATTAAAGTATACTCAGTCACACTATTTCATTCTTTTTTTAAATTGTCATATAGCTCACAGTGTCATCATGAATTGCTTGCTGTATTGATAACTGTCCCATTGCTGGTTCCAGATCTATAGTTACAGAAGAAGAATCTTGTTCTTGAAACAACAATGAACCTTGTTTTCCAGCAACACTTGGAGGTAACATAGTAGAAACAGAACCTTGAGTAAACTGCTGTCTTCTACTTTGTTCCTCTCTCATATTCTATGTATTTTAAAATGAATATTGTTTATTTTTCTTATGTTCAATATTCTTTTCATGTTCTTCTTTGTTTTACATACCTCTGATCTAACTTCTAATACACTTTTAAAGTGATTTGACATATTTGCCAGTTTTGATTGTAAGGCCATAACAATTGAAGATGAATGCGAAGCCATATGATGACTTTGAGATGCACCATATCCTTCTCTTTGCTTTTTGCTAAGCTCTTGTAATTTTCCTATTTGATGATTCAAACTTTTTAAATCTGTTTTTATGATATTTGTCAATTCTTCAATTTCCACTTGTCTGTCATTAAATATAGACTTCCTTTTTGCCACTAAAACAATTCAATAAATATGTAACATTCTTTCATTCATATGCTTGTAATTTTTATTATACCACAATATATTATATACTTTGTACATGTATCTGCTTTTATTAAAAGCAAACATTTTATCACAAGTAATGAAAATGGAAATGAAAGAATTTAGATAGAAATAACAGCTATTTTAATCCATTAACAGATCAGTACACTTCAAGAAGATTAAACACTGTTTCTGAAGCAACAAAATATAGAGTAAGTTAGTTGCACTACACAATTCATTTTGACAGATTTCTTTCATAATTTTATTTTATATATATATCACATTATAAATATGTTACATTCAAAAGGAGAAGATAGGTGTTCATTGCAATCTTACATAGAGCAAGCTTTTCTAGCTTAGTATATGTGCCTGCTATGTTTTTTCCAATATTCTTGGCTATCATCATGAAATTAGAGTAGCTCTGTAACTGGCGTGCTCGACGAGGATTTTGCAAAACCGCTGCTCGTGCTACGGTTCTGCTTTGCATCGTCCGGATCGCATTGACGAATTCATTTGTCCTATCGCGCGACGTCATTGTCGCTGGTGCGATGTCCGCTTGCTTTTTCCCGTTTTCCGTTAAATTGTACCCTTCACTTTCATGGTTATACTGCTGCCTTATAGTACTGCCCCGCCAGGGACTATTTGAGGTTGTGATCACAAAATCATGGTCTACCTCGGAGCCAACGTGTCGTCTACGTGCTGGCATTGCATTCTCAGTTTCTTTACGTGTTCACACTTTTATGATTTTAAAAACGCGATACGTATCTCCCATCTATATAAAATATTTTTGACTAAATGTATCAACAGATTGAAACAGACACGTCCACATGACAGTTATATCCCTTATGGTGACTTTTACTCTTTATTGACAACGTCGGATATCAAGCTGCGCAATTCCTGAAACAAAATATCACTAGGCTTTAATTACGTCAGCAGTCAAATTTGTACTTTGAATTAAAAATGTAATTAGATTTGTTTTAAATAAAGGATAAACATTTTGTTTTTCTTTGAATATAAAGTAGAAATAGAAATTTTTTAAGGTTTAAAATATTACGAGTACTGTAGTAACATAAAGTTTGGAAGAAATTATATGAAAAATTTTCGTGTGAATATTCTTATGTTATGCTTTTTTTTAAATTTTTAAATTCCCTGCTAAATACGAGTATTTATGATGCTTCGAGTTTTGACGTTTACTAGATATATTATTGTTTTAATCTGTTTTCGTATTTTGTTTAGTGAAAATATATATTTTTTACACTGTGTCTGACCAATAAAAAAAAATCATGCTTCTTTTTACTTGAACGCTATTAAAATTATATAGCAAACACGCCTTCATATAGTAAAAAGGACAATAATTAATTGTAATGTAAGATTCAGAATTTACTTCATTTGTAGGTTAAATTTTAAATTTAAATAGTAACTAGATATATTTGTCGATTTTTTTATTTCATATATAGTGACAAAATTTTACCTATTTAACATATAAAGGTACAGAAATTTTAATTTTTTGAAATGAAAAAAAAAGAAACGGAGTTTTTATGCCAACATTTATTTATTATGCTAACATTCTCTTTCGTTAAAAAATCATTTTCACGCAAAATAGCTTACTATGCCTTAAAAACTGCACTTCCTCTGATCGCATAAAAAAATAAATTCTATTATACTTTATTTTGATCCCTCTTCAGTTGGAAGTTGAACAAAGAATATCCAGTACTTGAAAATTGGTGGACATTAAATTACGCATTTTTCAGTTACTTACTACCACCATACTTACACGTGCACGTTTCTCAAATGTTCCCTGAACGATTTATTAGCATAAGTAAAATAGGGTTGACCATTACAAACGAAGTAAATACATGTATAAAATTTTTCATTATATGCTACATGTATTCTTACTAAGAGGAGACTTTTGGGACTAACGAAAGAAAGGAGAATCCGAAGGAAATAAAGGACATTCAACTTTGACAGTATTTTTTCATTTAAAAAAAAAGAGAGAAAAAAATGAGGAAAAAGGTGTTCTCGTTCCTTTCCAAGATTTGTCACCGTCGAATATCATACTACATGTTCATCTTGGAGAAGGTATACTTTTAAGCGTTCTAATGATCGGCTTCGTTACAGACGGATTCTTAAATACACTATAGAACTATAGAAGTAACTATAGAAAAACATACAATATGTATATCATCTCTATATCTCTACGGTAGTCAACGTTTTGTTGTCTCGCGATAGTTTACAGAATTTTCCGTACACAAATGTCGTCAGCTTAAACCCGAAAGAACGCCACGAACGGAAATTCTTACTTTCCATTATTATACATTTATTTTATAACTTTCGTTTAATCAATTTAACTATACGTTTATAGTACTCATATTTACATTGTATTATCGTACAATTAGGATAAAGTAAGTATCGTTCAAAAGTTTGAGGCAATATACACTTTATGCAATTACAATTTATACAATTTAATCATTAGTTTAATTTAAGAAATTATTTTGCAATATTCAGGTTAGGAAACTGTATTTGGGAAGAAGGTTTGTAGAAATTTTAGTTTATTTTAGATACAGAATATAGTAATGGCCTCAAATTGTTGAACGCTGGCGAATATAAATATATAATACAATATAAAAACATGGAATTATCACATCATTTTCGCAGAAAATTTATAAAAAATGGAACGATCTTTCGGATTCAATCGATCTGACGGTGTTCTCTTAGTTTGTTTCTTGACTGTCTCAAGCAGTTAGAGTGTCCACTTGGTTCTTCGGTATCTCGTTGTCGAAGTCCTCGACAGTCTCAACGCTTCTTAAAGGTGTGGTGCGCTCCTCTTTGCTAGTGGCTGTTGCAGTGGTCGTAACGGTGGGCAGGGTGGTTATTTCAGCGTCAGCCTCACTCTCGGTCATCAGGATCGTCTCGTTCTGAGGTTTCACATCGATCACACGGACACGAATTACAGTACCATATTCGTCGTCACCATCCATGTAGGTCGTCTCATTAATGGTCACCACATGTCCATCAATGATCTGAAAAAATATAATGGCGGTGGTTGTTTTTTTTTTATATTAAAGTTAATTTTAATTAAAACGAATAAATTTTTCAGAAAATTAATATATGTAAATTAGTAATTTTCCCGAAATGGTTTCTAAAACAACATTTGTAAACTAACAACTTTGATTTGAGTGCAATCCCTTTTTCATTTTGAAAGTTAGGTTATGTTATATTAGGTTAGGTTAGGTTAGGACGGAAAAAGTCACAATGAGGAATAAAGGCTGCACATCAGCTTAAGTGGCACGGTGGTTAGTTCATCCCGGGAAATGTAGCAACCTGATCAGCATTCATGTGTAGATTACGTTACGTAATTCATTACATAAATTACGACAATGCACTGCACGCATTCAGACAGGAACGATTGTACATGTTACTTATTCTCCGCTCGTACTCTGAAGCATTAACATTAATTATATTTGAGTAATATAAAAGTTGAAGAGAGAATCTCGTTTTATTATTTCGTCTTTTAAAACGTACGAAAAGAGGAATTATCTTATTACAGCTAGAATTTCTTTTGGTACAGGAGTATTATACATTCCGTGGCAATATTTAAGGATTATTATTATGGGTGAAATCATCGGGTACCTGATACTCAGGAGTATCTCGCGATATAATATCGAGATTTCCAAGATTTCTAGTACTCGAATCGCGTTTCGAGACGAACTTTGTTAATGGAAACTTGGATATTTTTTCATTTCTTTACAGCTTCAGAAAATACTGTTTTCCACGTAATACTGTTATCCACGTAAATAGAGACTTTTTTCGCAACACGTGAAAAAATACTCGATAAAGTTTCAATAGAGCTGAGAATTTCATATATCGGTAAAAATAAGTTTCCAACTACAAAACATTCTTCGATACATTTTTCTACTTTATTGCAATTTATTTTTTTTTTTTTACCAACTTTCATCCGATACACGAAAACATTTATAATTTATCTCTTGTTCCTTTTTTTCGCCAAATGCAAATAATACGAATTATTGAAATTCAATTCTCAGAAAGACAAACAGAATGCACATGTATAGTCGGTGGAAGGAATATAGCGAGATCGTAAAATCAGTCAGGGGTCAAAGTTTACACGTTCAAGTATGCCGACAAGAGAATCTACAGGAACCTGAGAAGATAAGAACTCGAGGTCTCAGTTAAGGTTACACGAAGTATACCTTATCTTTGATTCACCTAACCTTAAATAAATTAGAAAAAAAAAAACGTATTTAAGTTACGACCTCGATACTTCTTCCACCGACTATACCTGAAATATAACTACAGAGACTATATTATATCAGGTATGGGAAGACTAGACGCCACATGTAACAAAGGGTTAACTAAAGGAAGCAATTTGTCAGACGGACGAACTGATTAGCCGAACGAGGCAGCCGGAAATAATCGTAATATTCACGTGTGACTCACCTTGGTTGTGGAGGTGGTGTTCGCTCCTTCAGGAATCTTGCCCAAGGATACGATACCGTGATCGGGAATACGTGACAAAATGCGAGACATGTCTTCCCTCCATTTTTTTATGGTGGCTGAAAAGAGGTCGTAGAGAGATTAGAAACGAGAAGTCGACGTGAACACGCACCACCTGTCGCTACGCGTGCCTCTCTCCAGAAAAATATGAACGTAAGTGGAGATGGGATTTTTTGATACAGTGAAATGTCTCATCTTAAAATAGTGTATCGATCAAGTGTTTCCATTGAATTTTATTACTGTACAGTGAAATGAACCTTCAAGTTTGAAGAAAGGACATAATTCGATGTCATTGTGAACAATGAATTTATTTGAAAACCATGAATGAATTGATTTATGAAATTGTTGCTGTATAATGTTAGCTAAATAGTTTGTAAATTAACACGTGCCGGTTAATGAAAGATTCAAGAACTGAAATTAGATTGGTATGTGATCAAATTCTTATATATAACCCAACTAACTACCTAAACCTGAAACCTAACCTAACTTAATCACGATACGTGTCGGTTAATGAAAGATTCAAGAATTTTAATTTGATTGACATATGGTCAGGTTCTTATATATAAGCTGACTTAACCACAATAGATAGATTAACATGTGCCAAATTTAACCATGATACACAAAACCTAACCTAACTTAATCATGATACGTAAAATTGAAGATAAAATAGAGGGTTATGCAGTAAAAATTGTTATGGCAAAAAGTAGTATTGATACAAAAAAGGAAAACTCATCTTGATATTCGAATAGCTTTACATCTGCAGTGTTAATTTTAAATCAGTGAGAAAATTACCTAAAACTTCGATATTGGTACAGCTAGACACACGATTATAAACTACGTGAGATTTCCATAATTTGCAGGTTAAGAAGCTGGGATTTGGTTTCTTTGCTCATAGTAATTCCCATAAATTTATTATGAAATTATCCGAATACAAAATATTCCCTACTTTTTTCATTTTCCAGTTAAATTCCTAGTTTCTAGATATTTACAAAAAACTTCAGATAGATCTTTCAACGAATTTTAAACGATCCCTAATTAAAACAATTCTGTTATCGTTAAAAAATTGTAAATTTAGTAAGATTAAAAGAATATAACAAGATTTAAATAAATTGTTTCGCTCGCAAGGTAATTATAAATAAAGAGCAGTAAAAAAAGTAATTGTTCAAGGTTTCAATACTGATCATTTCGTAATATGTATCGGCACGAAATAGTTTTCTTTCGGATCGCCGAGCACACGTTAAACTTGACCCTATTATTGAAGAACCAAAATATTGAGAATAAATTAAGTAACCTGTTTCATACGGATCAGGCTGCTTTGATACCAATGTCGGATTAATTTTAACAGAGATGTTTAACGAATAAATAGAAGTGAAAACCAAGCTGTACGAAGAAAAAACTTATAAAAACACTTCATGAAACGGTTATTGAAAAACGGTGAAAAAATATCAAATGTTGGAAGAGGTACATGAATGGCTGGATATTTGTTTCATCCATATATCACTTCGAAAAATTTAGAATTACCAAAGTAATTCGTTTTAGCAACGACGTAGACAAGTTTCATACAAGTTCTACTACCTGTTACTATTATTCCATTTTCACATCTATATTTCGATATTTGATTTACCAATAGTTGTGTTTCCATTAAAAGTAACCGTAATATATTTCTTAAACTGTATTTCTCACCTTCTGAATGATGATAATAATAAATAACATCACATTATTGTTATTATAATTTCAAATCGCGTAAAACAAAGTCGTCGAAAATTATCTTTCTCTATAAATTTCACCTAACCTCAAAATACACCCTTCCGTGTATCATTTCCTTCATCCTTAATCATTCAAATGAAACTTCCTTCTCGCAGCGCCACCGAAAGAAAATTTACCATTCCGAAGTTCGTTCTGCGAGCAAACACGCGATTGGTCATGCAGAAATGAACGTTGGCAGACGTAGTACATAATACATTGTCTTGTTTCGACTGTTTGGTTCGGGAAAGGGTCGAAATTCACGGTGGCGCTGCTAATCGAACTTGCACTGTTAGTTCAAACTCAGAATGTATATGCGTATGCATACAAGTGTGAGGGAGAGAGAGTTAGTTCTTCCGACGAGGAATGGAAAACGATGTTGAGAAAGCCTCACGGCGACGTGTATATGCAGCTGGCCTAAGAAACGTCGGGTATAATTCAAGAAGGAATAACTACACGTGCATTAAGACCAGGTTACACCAGTCTAGAAGACAGACGCGAAAATAGAAGCTGCAATTACTTCTATAGACCGTTGTCGATGAAAATTGCGCGCCTAACCGCTTTATTAGTCTGTGGAATAACGATTTGATAACCTTACTGGGCTACGTGATTTTTCTATGCCGAACCCTCAAGGATGCCACGGCTTCTTCGATATTATCATTGTAAATAGCCATGTTGATGTCGTTCCGCTTGCAGGGTCTTTACACTGAATAATATGAAACGTGAATGTGTTTACGTGCACATGTAAGTACATACTTAAGTGTGGATATAAAGATGTTCTCGAAGCATTGCTCGAGTTTCGATAAAAATGTTATCATGGATATAAGTTATTGATCGGTGGTATTTGTGTAACTGTAACAGGTTACTACAGTTTGATGAGAACATCTTTTTTGATATAGAGTGACTCGTACACATTCACATATTTTATACGAATATATTATGTAGGATAGATATTTAAGAGATAGTATTTTGTCGTGCTTTTTTTTCCCTTGGTTGGTTAACGTTGCATCGACCTCTTGCCTCGGTTATTAGCGACAGCAAGAAGGGAGGGGGAATTCCAAAGTTCACTGCATAGTTTGATGTGCTTCAAATATTGTAATAATTCAAATACCGTTTCTTTGTCTTTTAGATTGTGTTTTAAGGCGAGTTTTATGTTGAACTGTTGTTATAGAAGTTTATTTAATGCAAGAGGATAAAGTAACATGTGAATTCTCATTGGTACAGTGGTACCAACAGTATATTTCGAGCAATTAATATTTATGCAGCTGTGATTCAGTGAAAATATATAATTTTAAAAAACTTGCACTAATTGACACGAAGATTACATTGTTTTTAATGGAAGTACTTCCTTGAGGTGAGTGGCACAAAAACGCAAAAATATTCAAATATTGAAACAATATATGATTTTCAACTAAATCGATTCAATCTTTTTTTAACCTCTTTTTCCTATTTAAACATTAAAATCGAGATACCTAAATACCCTTTATGAATTTATCAACAGAATCTTGGCTTTCCAAACATCGCTAAATAAGAAAAATTGGACTTGAACCATTTCAAGAAAAAGAAATAGCTCAGAATGTTTTAAACAATCAACAAACATTTAAGTGTAAAATGTTGATACATTTCAATGGCAATACATCAGAAGTATATCAGAGAGAAATTATTCAGAGAGAAACATCAAGCACATTTATGTGTTTGCCCTTTGTACCTCGTGGAACACGACTGCCAACTATGTAGAACATAACTCGGAGGAATCATAGACTCGCGATACGCAATGCAGGACAAACAGAACGTGTGGGACACAATAAAGACGACCTCTAGTACGTAAGATATGACACAGACCACGTGACATTAGCGGTCAGGCGTTACAAATCATCTCGGGGCTCATGCAACCAGATAGAGATTATTAAGGACCCGCGGAACGTAATAAAGATTAACCCTGGATCGTTGAAATTCGACAAAGGCTACCCCTTAAATCCTGAAACATGATGTACATCATACCGCACCTGTACAATGAGAATTAAACCTTGTGGTACAAATGGAAATCGATACAAGTGATTAGGAATATGCGAGGCTCGATTCACCATGGATTAGTAGAATTTCACTCGTAAACGTTGACAGAAATATCACTAAATACACGTGGTATTACGTAGAGATAATTAGAAGACTTGTGAAAATCGATAAAAGAAAAAGTCGAACACAGATTGGTTGAAAACTAAAGGAAGTCAAGTAGACCAGTTTAATGATCACAGAGGTTGAACAGAGTACACTGAAATTCTGTAGAAGTAGAATAAATTGGATTAGGGTTCATAATTAGAAGACTCGTGAAAATCGATAAGAAAAAAAAAAAAGGTCGAACAGATCGGTTCAAGACTAAAGGAAGTCAAGTAGGTTAGTTTAATGGTCACAGAGGTTGAACAGAGTGTATTGAAACTCTGTCGAAGTAGAATAAATTGAATTAGAGTTCACAGAAGTCGAATTGATCGCCCTTAGACTCGTCAAAGTCGAACAGTTTAGTTTAAGACTCATACGAGTCGAATGGATTAGCTTCACCGTTGTAGAGGTAGAAAGGATAGGATTGAAACTCGTAGAATTAAAGTAGATGGACTTGGAGCTCATAGAAGTAGAATAGTTTGGCTCGGGACTCAAAGAAGTGGAACAGGTTATCTTTGGAACGGTGGAAGTTGAATAAGTTAGGTCAGGGTTCATAGAAAACTGGAAGGTCCATGCAAGTCTAGTAGAAGTCAGAGAAATGGGTTTCAGTAGAAGTTAGCCAGGATCTTTACTCTTCTAGAAGTCTTCTAGAGTGATCAGATGAAAATTCATTAAGTTGAATAAAATTGCTTGGAAGCTTGAACAAATTTCAAGGACTGAACATTTCTGAGAGTTCAACAGAACTGAACAAAATTTTAGAGTTTCAGTAACTTTGGTAAGTTCTGAGAATCCAGAAAATAGCTGGTTTCTCAAAGTTCTGTAGGTCTCTGAAGGTGTCTATGGTCAATAGATCCTCTGAGCTCACTCTATGGTTTCAGAGTTTTTCAAATCACTGTGGTTTCTGGGGTTTCCAGCCTTTTCAGAGCTTTTAGGATGTCTGAAGTCTTAGCTGGGTTCTTTAATCTGATAAGTCTGGAAAACTTGGTGAATTTTGGGAATTTGAAAAATCTGAAGGAACTAGCAAGTGGAAAGGATCTCATGGATATTAGGAACAAGGTGGACTGAGAAACTTCATGGTGAATATTTTATTTGAATTATTCTCCAATTTCTACAGTTTTAAAAAAATGTTTAAACAGAAGATATGTGAAATTGTAGACTGCAA